GTTTATTATTAAATTAAGGCACTAGCAGGATGACCCATTTTATTTTGTTTTTTATTTTCTGATTTGAAAGGATGATGTTGGCATACATGGGTTAATGCTTTATTTTCAAAAAGTAACTAGGAAGAAATTGAGCACATATCATTGCTTAGATTATATAGATGTAACCTTTTTTTTTTTTTTGCATTTTTGGCCAGGGCTGGGTCACCACCTCCGATATATGGGGCTGACGCCCCACTCCTTTGAGCCACAGGCACCATATTTTTAATGTTCTTCTAAGATAAAAATCATATTACAAGGCAGGAAATTTTAATAAATTGATCCATCAATAGAAATTGAGTCCATACAATCAGCCAGGCAATATCAGAGAAAAATCAGACTAATTTGAGTCAATTGACTAAGAAATTGATCAAAATGATTGTATACTTTGGAGTAGATATAGTCATAGAATTGGAGAGTGAAGAGAATATTTTCACATAAGTGAACGTGTAGAATTTGCAGATTTATGGACCGAAGGTTTTACACACTGCCTCCTTCTTGTCCTCCTCCCTGTGTGATAGAAGAGCAGACCCACAGAGGGCCCCAGGAGCATAATGAAAGCAGGCACTGAGGGGTCCACACTTCCAGAGCAGACAGGTTTAATAAATCCCCATGTTCCCAATTTCTCTGAGGATTCAAACTCATCACTCTAAATTGTTCTGTTACTAATGCTGGGTAATGAAACTATTTTACTTCCCATTTCCAAGTAGCTCACAGTTTTCTTCTTTCAGGGCCTTCCCAATATACTAGAAAAAATGAGTTTATTTCTTTACTTCATTTTCATAAATCAGTCACCTGATTTGGGGGCAGGGGTAGGAGGGACGAACTTGAGAATGCATGTAGTGAGGATAAGATGGAGTCAGTCAGGCTGAGGCTGAGATGAAACAGCTGGCCAGTTTTGGTCCTATGTGACTTTCACCTTATGTCTCCTTGTTGTCTTGTAAATTCAGCAATAATATAAAAGTATATATCTTTAGTAGTATAAGGTTATTGGCTTAGGAGATTAACTTTTGGATTAGAAATGGCAAAGGTTACGCTGATTATTGTTAAGATAAGGGTTAGCATGATTCTTGCTTTTAACTTTTATGTATAAAATTGTGATTTTGGAAATGGAAGAACAAAACAGTCTTAGGGAGTCTCTTACTGTTCTCCAGAATTGCTAACCTTCTGACAAAGTTTTGTGGCCCTATCCCAGTCTCTGCATACTGGCTGAGAGTGACAGGCAGCTGAAGCCTCTTTGTTCAATAACAAACTGATCGAATTAGTCATTTGAATAGATCAGTCAGGCTTCTGGAAATACAGACACAGGTCCTAGTAAACAGTTCTGGAGGTTATAGCTTAGAAAAACTAGAATCTAGTTTTGGGGGTTGATTTTTAAAATACTCCTTTTTCTTTGTTTTTTATCTCACATTGTCACCTTGTGTAGAGGGCCATGGTGTCATAGCCCACAGCAACTTCATACTCTTGGGCTCAAGCAATCCTCTTGCCTCAGTCTCTCAAGTAACTGGGATGATAGGCACCAACCACAACTCCCAGCTAGTTTTTCTATTTTTAGTAGAGATGAGGTCTCACTGTGGCTGAGGCTGG